TTCTTGCAGGCAAACTCAGCCAGGGGTAGCAATGTAGCCCAATCATCTTGTTGATAGCCGGTATAGCAACGTAGATACTGTTCAAGGGGGATGTTAGTACGCTCAGTCTATCCATCTGTTTGAGGATGGTACGCCGACGATAAGTGCACCTGGGTACCTAAACTGGTGTGCAAGGCTTGCCAGAACCGGGCAATGAATTGGGAGCCACGATCCAAAATTAAGTGTGTCGGGAGCCTGTGTAGATGGAAAACATGTTGAAGATAGAGCTGAGCTGTTTCAGGAGCTGTGGGAGGCTTGGAACATGGGACAAAATGAGACATTTTGGTGAACAGGTCCACTATTACCAGAATGCAGGTGTAACCTTGAGATTGTGGGAGGTCAGTGATGAACTCCAGAGATACTGTGTCCCAAGGGCCGGCTGGTATGGGTAGTGGATGTAGCAGCCCAGGAGGTTTGGCTGGTACGTCCTTGTCTCAATGACAAACCTTGCAGGAATCGACGTAATGAGCAATGTTAGCGTGAACCCGGGGCCACCAGAACTCCCGTGTGAGTAGATGCAGAGTCTTATACTGACCAAAGTGTCCTGCAGGAGGGGAATCATGGGTCAAATAGAGCACGTTGGTTCGGAGGTGCCCTGGAGGAACATACAGGTGCCCTTGGTGTAATAGGAGCCCCTGGTGGTTAGCGAAGTCTCCAGCAAAGCCCTCTTGGAGTTCCTGCAAGCGTTGCTTGGCCCAGGGGTCTTGAGCTGGCCCAAATTTCCTCAGCCAGGGACAAGTGGGTTGTAGTGGCTGCAAAGACTGAGGGTGATAGGATAGGTGCAGTCAGAGACTCTTCAGAGGGTGACACCGCGTATTCTGGTTTGTGGGACAAAGCGTCGGCTTTCAGATTCAGAGCCTGCAGGATATAGTTAATGCGGAAGTCAAACCGGGAGAAGAGGCACCATCTGATCTAGCGTTGATTGAGGCATCGGGCTGTCTGCAAGTGTTCCAGATTCTGGTGGTCAGTCAAAACTTGGATGGGATGATGGGCCCCTTCAGGGTAATGCCTCCAGACCTCGAAAGCGGTTTTGATGGCCAGGAATTCCGGTTCCCAGATGGTGTCATTGTGTTCTAAAGGGGTGAACTGCTGGGAGGAAAAAGCACAGGGCTGCAGTGGCTGTGAGAGGTCCTCCTGCTGGGACAGCACTGCACCCAGGGCGACACTGGAGGCATCCATCTCCACAGTAAATGGTAGTATGGGGTCTGGATAACACAGAATTGGCTTGGTTGTAAAGCGAGTTTTCAGTGTGGTGAAGGCATAGTCTGCCTCCGAAGTCCAAAGAAACAGCTCTTTGGGCCAGAGGAGACGGGTCAGCAGTGTGGTTATGTCCGCATAGGCTGGTATAAACTGGCAGTAATAGTTTGCAAAGCCGAGAAACTGCTGCACATCTTTACAGTTCGGGGGCTTCTGCCAGGTCAGAACTGATTCTATTTTCTTTGGGTGCATCTGGATCCCTTGGGGTGATAAAATGTGGCTTAGGAACTCAACTTCCTGCACGTTGAAGTCACACTTCTCCAGCTTGATGTAGAGTCGGTGATCTCGTAGTCATTGTAAGACCTCACAAATGTGTTCTGTGTGCCAAGCGGGGTCTTGGGAGTAAATCAAAATGTCATCCAAATAGATGATCACAAAGTGATCAAGCAGGTCTCGAAACATGATGTTCATGAACCGCTGGAATACAGCTGGAGTCTGGGTCAGGCCGATCAATGACAGGGGGTAGCATTCCTGAATGGCCGCGAGTTCTGGTTCAGACATAGGGTAGATCCGCGCCACAGGAAGAGGTGAACCAGGCACCAAATTGATGGCACAATCATAGGATCGATGTGGGAGTAGCTGGTCGGCCCCCTTTTCCTCGAAAACATCAACAAAGTCCCTGTATTCCGAAGGTATCATGGGACTGTCTGTTGATCCTGCTGCAGCTAAGGTCGCCGGTGGAACCAGATGCGGACACGGATCCCTGGAGCGCAACTCCCATTGTGCCCAGTCTACTAGGGGGTTACGTGTTCAGAGCCAAGAAAATCCCAGAATGAGCAGAAGCATTCATGCGATCCTATGACCTTCGTATCATGAGACTTTGCTGAATTTTAGCTCTCACTCTGGCTACTGGGGGAAGAGAATTGGGTGGTGATTCAGCTGTCTGTGCTTCTAATTGCCCAGCATTTTATTCAGCTTTAATTAACCACTCAGATTCCAGATCTTCTTCGGATGAACTCATGACACTGCTGACCTTGACCCAGACATCCCGGAGAGTGAAGTGGGCCTTAGAAAGCTTGTCTAACAACAAGGCCAGTGGAGGTGATGGCATTCCAGTTGAACTACTAAAATCATAAAAGATGACACTGTTAATGTGCTATACTCAATATGCCAGCAAGTTTGGAAAACTCAACAGTAGCCAGATGACTGGAAAAGATCAGTCTACACCCCAATCCCAAAGAAGGGAAGTGCCAAAGAATGCTCCAGCTACCGTACAATTGCACTCATTTCACACGCTAGCAAGGTTATGCTCAAAATCCTGCAAGGTAGGCTTCAGCGGTATGTGGACCGAGAACTCCCTGAAGTACAAGCTGGATTCTGAAGGGGCAGAGGAACTAGAGACCAAATTGCTAACATGCGCTGGATTATGGAGAAAGCCAGAGAGTTCCAGAAGAACATCTTCTTCTGCTTCATTGACTATGCAACAGCCTTTGACTGTGTGGAACGCAGCAAACTATGGCAAGTTCTTAAAGAAATGGGAGTGCTTGATCATCTTATTTATCTCCTGATAAATCAATATGTGGGTCAGGAAGCAACAGTTGGAACTGGATATGGAAAAACTGATTGGTTCAATATTGGGAAAGGAGTATGACAAGGCTGTATATTGTCTCCCTGCTGAATTAACTTATATGCAGAATACATCATGTGAAAGGATGGACTGGAGGAATCCCAAGCCGGAATTAAGACTGCTGGAGGAAATATCAACAACCTCCGATATGCAGATGATACCACTCTGATGGCAGAAAGTGGGGAGGAATTAAAGAACCTTGTAATGAGAGTGAAAGAAGAGAGTGCCAAAAATGGTCTGAAGCTCAACATAAAAAAAGTAAGATCATGGCCACTGGTCCCATGACCTCCTGGCAAATAGAAGAGGAAGATATGGAGGCAGTGACAGATTTTATTTTCTTGGGCTCCATGATCCCTGCTGATGGTAACAGCAGCCACGAAATTAAAAGACGCCTTCTTCTTGGGAGGAAAGTGATGACAAACCTAGACAGCCTCTTAAAAAGCAAAGACATCACCTTGCCGACAAAGGTCTTCATAGTCAAAGCTATGGTTTTCCCAGTAGCGATGTATGGAAGTGAGAGCTGGACCGTAAATAAGGCTCACCCCAGAAGAATTGATACTTTCGAATTGTGGTGCTGGAGGAGACTCTTGAGAGTCCTCTGGACTGCAAAGAGAACAAACCTATCCATTTTGAAGGAAATCAACTCTGAGTGCTCACTGGAAGGAAAGATGAAGCTGAAGCTCCAATATTTTGGCCATCGCATGAGAAGAGAAGACTGCCTGGAAAAGACCCTGATGTTGGGAAAGTGTGAAGGCAAGAGGAGAAGGGGACGACAGGACAAGATAGTTGGACGGTGTCCCCGAAGCTACCAACATGAATTTGACCTAACTCTGGGAGGCAGTGGAAGACAGGAGGGCCTGGCATGCTCTGGTCCATGGGGTCAAGAAGAGTCGAAGAATCAGACACGACTTAACGACTAAACAACAAAGTGTGGTTCTATATCTGTCTGTCTTTGTGTGAACTGAATTTTATATTTCAGCAGTGATGATTCACAACAGTGTGTTATGCATTTGACAAATCTCTGCCACCCCACTACTGCCCCTTCCCCCATAGCAGCACTGTGAACAATGCATCCCTCTGAAGCTTACAGGGAACAGGGGAATCTGAAGGGCCTGCTGATCCAAATGCCTTAACACTTCAGTCCTGCTAATCGTAACTGCACTAAAACATGGTGTGTATATGTGTTGTTGCAACCTCTGTATCTAGAAGCAAAAGCAAATTACCCTAAATTACATAGTTGTAGTTTTAGAAGAGGTAACTGTGTTAGTCCTTGCTAGTATATCAGGCAAAAAACAAAAGAGAAATAAATAATAAAGAAGGCAACCATGTTGTGGCACCTTAAAGACTAACTGCTATATTTTAATGTGAATTTTCATGCACAAGTTCACTTTCTCTTATGTCTGAGAAAGTGGACTTGTCCACAAAAGCACAAATTAAAATACAGCAGTTAGTTTTTAAGGTGGTGAGATGTCTTTTCTTCTTTATTTTTTAAATACATTTTTAAATTGCATGTAGACTTTGTGATGTGACCTTCAGAAATGTTTGCAAGAACATCCACAAGAGGACAAGCTATTATAACTGCATTTTCTACAGCTAACCTCTTATTGATTTTAATTAATTCACCACTTCTGTTAAGTGTAAACACTTATAGAAGGTGACACATTAAAGGGATATGTATTGCTTAGGTAGGTGATTTACACCACAGGGTCATGAAGAGTCGGACACAATTTAACAAATAACAACAATAACAGAATTAAAAATGTTGGCTAATTACAGTAAAACATGATAAAATTACTATTCCAGCTGAGTTCCAATTCTTTGCTTTTATTTAGAAGGGGTTCAGTAATTGTCCTCTATGTTTAACCATGCAAAATCTCTCCAACATCATTGGTGTGGTATATTTCACTGTCTGGGAAGCAAGTGTCTTCCTGGCTTCATGCTGCATTCCTGAAAGATAACAAATCTTAAGCCTGACATAATTATGGCCTTTTCCTCCTACCACCACCTGCTCCTAGTAACCACGAAAATGAGGTGTGCTACAGCTGTGAGAAATTTCTTTTGCTCCCCTTGGGAATGGCATCAAGCATACTGAAATGAAATGTGTTTTGATTCTCTCCTATCTCTTGTTTGGGTGTGCTTGTTGCTTTATTCCCTACCGTCCTCCTGGCCTCCGAGTAGATAGCGGGGTACACATTTTCCTGATATCAAGCTACGCTAAATATGGTCATGTCAGTATGTCAATAATCCCTGTGTTTAAGCCACATACAGACACTGATGTGTCGGGACATTCTTTCTCTTCAACTCTCTAGCTGACGTCTGGTGCTTAAAACAGAGCATGCTTTCATCCTTCCGCGCATTGTCGCAACCCCCTAGGAATACATTTTAAAGGGTGCTGCTGCTACGTAGGGAAACAGTTGCTGACCAAACCAGGCAGAGACACTTCGACTCCGGCTTCCACGAATGCTGCCTTATAGTTTCTCCTCTACATTGGCCTGACAGGAAAGTAAAAAGGGACCATGTCTACCTTTGGCTACAGGCGAGAGCTTAGTAAATATGAAGACCTAGATGAAGACGAACTCCTCGCTTCTCTAACGGAAGAGGAGCTGAAGGAGTTAGAGAGAGAATTTGAGGACATTGAGCCTGACCGAAACCTCCCTGTGGGACAAAGGCAAAAGAGTCTCACTGAGAAAACTCCAACAGGAACTTTCAGCCGGGAGGCGCTGATGGCCTATTGGGAAAGGGAGACCAGGAAACTTCTAGAAAAAGAGAGAATGGGGGCATGTGAAAAGGTAGGTTACCAAATTCAGTAAACAAGTCCTGGAAATATTACCTGTTCTTTTCTTACTATCTGTCAAGCAGAAGAACCCTCTCCCCACCTCTTCAGTATTTGCTTTTTAAAATGTCTCGGTATTTGCTATTGAACTGAAGAAGTTAATCGATGATCATAAATATTTATCAAAGCGAGAATAGTAAAGAATGTCAGTTAAAAATCATGTTTTACTGAGAGAAGACTGAAAAACACTTTCAAAATAGTGGAGTATTTCTGAGACTGTGCCTCTCCAGATTTCAGATGGAAGCCTTCTTTTAAAAGTATATCTTGTGAGAGTTAGTGTGGTGTAGTGAATAGAACCAGACTAGGACTCAGCAGACCCAGGTTCAAATTTGTGCTCACTGGGAGCTGGGGAAACCACTTTTTGAACTTCTCACATGCCTTGAAAAATCCTGTTGGGGGTCACCATACCTCAGAAGCAGCTTGATGGCATATAACTTACAACTATGTAAACGACCCCTGCTTATAGAAGAGAGCTAAGCTAGACATTTTCTACCCCCATGTGCTGGGAGTTTGTTTTTGAGTTTTACATGAGGAAGGATTCAAAAACTTGATCAGTTGGTAAGTGAGGAAGTGGAGATAGAGTCCCAGAAGTATCCTGCTATGTTGGCCTCCCTAATCTCCATTGCCAGGCTTCGTTAGCATGTTCCATGACCCCAAATACATCAAAATCATTGCCTGCACTTTTGAGGAGACATAGCCAGACTTTAGGATTGTGGGGTCAACTGTTTTTTTTTTCCTTTTTCTTTTACTAGAATATTGAGATCCAGCAACCAGAACATAGTGTTAGGTGATCATGCAGTGGGGAAGAACCGAGATACGCATGATAGTTTCACTTTTTTCTATTGTTGTGTTTATTATTCACCATGATTTCTGGGATTTAAAATCATGAGGAACCCGCCACATAGAGAGCCATCTGCAGATGTTTCCCTTCACAATGTGAGGAGTGAGAAGGATGGCTATGGAAAGTGAGCAGCTAGTGTGTTTGTCCTAACTCTTCCTTGTCATCAACTAAATAAATTTTATAACTCTGTATTTAAGAAATATACGTTATTTAGATATATACAAACCAACATCTGAGGATCCCAATATACTAAATGTGTGTTTGTGTGTGTGTGTGTGTGTGTGTGTGTGTGTGACTTTTTGTTGTTTTTCTTAAGTAAATTGGGAGGAAAAAAATAAAACTTTGCTGATTTACTGAAAATATTTCTTGGAGCTACCAGTACACATCTATCTATTGTTTGCCCATTGCTGCTCTAAACTACTGTGGATCTTTTATATTTTGCCTCTTTGACATTGACCTCAACTTAAACATCTAGTTTAATCACAGGATTAAACTAGATGTCCTGGGGATTATTCATTCTCTATGATTAATCAATTTTCTCTTGCACAGTGGGTTTTCCCAAAAAAATCCTACCTCGCCAATTAGACTTGCAAAGTAGGCTTCTGTTTACTTTCCAGTGACCAATCCCAAAACAAAGTTGGCAGATACGCATGCTAGTTTTACTTTTTTCTATTGTTTTGTTTATTATTTATTCACCATGATTTCTGGGATTTTAAATTGTGAGGAACCCTCCACATAGAGAGCCATCTGCAGATGTTTCCCTTCACAATGTGAGGAGTGAGAAGGATGGCTATGGAAAGTGAGCAGCTAGTGTGTTTGTCCTAACTCTTCCTTGTCATCAACTAAATAAATTTTATAACTCTGTATTTAAGAAATATACGTTATTTAGATATATACAAACCAACATCTGAGGATCCCAATATACTAAATGTGTGTTTGTGTGTGTGTGTGTGTGTGTGTGTGTGTGTGACTTTTTGTTGTTTTTCTTAAGTAAATTGGGAGGAAAAAAATAAAACTTTGCTGATTTACTGAAAATATTTCTTGGAGCTACCAGTACACATCTATCTATTGTTTGCCCATTGCTGCTCTAAACTACTGTGGATCTTTTATCTTTTGCCTCTTGGATGTTGACCTCAAACTAGATGTCCTGGGGATTATTCATTCTCTATGATTAATCAATTTTCTCTTGCACAGTGGGTTTTCCCAAAAAAATCCTACCTCGCCAATTAGACTTGCAAAGTAGGCTTCTGTTTACTTTCCAGTGACCAATCCCAAAACAAAGTTGGTCAAACACAAGATGCATAGGTGAGGAAATTAAATAACATAGATAAATAATACTGTATGAGAAATATAGGAACAATCCAGCCAAACATTTTTATTTCTAAGGCCCATTGGCTCCAAAAGAAAACTCTTCCACTGAAATCAACATAATTCAACAGCACCTGACTTGCACAGGATTATCTTTCTGGAAGCATTTGTAAGGTGGGCAAAAGCTCTTCTGAAGTGCTTTGTATTGCAGTCACTAGACAGGTTCCAAAGATATAGCATGATAATTTCTATGTGAATTGCCAATCTTGTAATGTTCCCATTCTCTAATATTGGTGAAAAGAATTGGTTTGAGCCCAGCATTGCTTCCCACATCTGTTCTGTCTCCAGTATCCAGTCCACCAAACTTTACCTTAACAGGCTTTACTGTGGTTAATGATGTTCAGAGAGAGAGAGAGAGAGAGAGAGAGAGAGAGGTCTACTTTTACAGTGCACTCCTCTGCATATCTGTTCTAAATGGGTTCCATTCAGTGTAGTGGGGCTTAATCACAGAGAGCAATAGGAGTGTAGCTTTGAGACAAGATCTAGTGGTGGATTCCAAGAGCAGAAGGGTGGAGTCTAGCAACACCAGATGCAACACACAACCAGGTTTTAGCCCTGCAGAATCAGCTTTTGATGTGCATGGAGAGCTGCATGGGGAGGAGATGGGAAGAAAATTGTGCAACTGCCACCAGTTCAGTGTTAGATTTGCCACAATGGAATTCTCAGCCAATTGTAAACTTTGCAGTTTAGCAGGTAAGAGTTGCTTTTAAAACGTAATCTTGATCCCAGAATTAAAAAAACAATCTTTGTTAGATTAAAAGATCTTGTAGAAGATACATCATCTCATGAGAAGACTCCCTAGAGAAGACACCCTGGAAAAGATCCTGATGTTGGGAAAGTGTGAAGGCAGGAGGAGAAGGGGATGACAGAGGACGAGATGGTTGGATAGTGTCATCGAAGCTCCCAACATGAATTTGACCCAACTCCGGGAGGCAGTGGAAGACAGGAGGGCCTGGCGTGCTCTGGTCCATGGGGTCACAAAGAGTCAGACACAACTTAATGACTAAACAGCAAGAAGATACATAGCACTCAATCTGTTATATCACTGTAGCTTTCTTTTAAGTAAGAAATCGATTATTTGCAGTTTACCCAAGACTGTGCTGAGGATTAAATTCCCTCTACTTTCAGTATAACTTCACCCTATAAAACAATAAATAATCCTGCCAATATTTAATGCCAGTTCCTAAAACATACAAGTATCATAACTGAAACACAAAAATTGACTGTTTATTTTATACTTAGCTGGCTGGATAGCTCAGTGGTTTAAGTGTCTGTTTGTGGAGTCAGATGTTGGGAATTCAGTTCCCCACTGTGCTTCGTAGGAAAAGAGCCAACCTCCGTAGCCTTGAGCAAACTGCACTGTCCCAGGATGCCCCCAGAAGAAGGGAATGGGAAACCACTTCTGAGTATTGACTATCTTGAAAACTTGTCTCCATAAATTGGAATCATCTTATGAGTTATTATTATTATTATTATTATTATTATTATTATTTGTTTTAAATCTATTTGAAGAGAATATTTCCTGGCACTATGTTCAACCTACGAGATCATTCTGGTTTTAATGAATAGTTGGGGGTGGGGTGGTAGTCATAAATACTTGGAAAGACGCGACCTCTTCATATTTCTGTGGATGCCAATCTTTCTCATATAATCCCTTGCTTTTTTGGTAACATAATCACTTGTTTTTGCAGAGTGGTAATTTAAAAAAAAAAATAGCCTGGAGAGAACACAGTTCTCAGCAGTGTACAGATTATAGGGCTATATTTACCACCAAACCGATAGGCTGATGTTTTCTACCCATGTAAAGCAGCATCATTCAGTGGCTTTTCGTGGCATTATCTGGGCTCTTGACTGGAACTTATCAGAGTTGAGAAGGAAGAATTTAGCCAAGCACTACAAGCCTGGGTGTTGGAATGCAGTCAGAGTATTAATATAGTCTTTGCCACACAGTCTGTCTAATGGTAACAAATAAATAAGAATAAAAACAATATTCTAATATAAAATATTACATGGCAACAGTACGAATGAAGCAGCTAACATTCAAAGCAGTGTAACACAATAGTGCGCCCAAATAGCAACAATAGTTAAATCTGGCTCTGGAAAGGTACAGGCACAGTTAATTCTATACTTTACTTCAGGCTAACTTGCGGCTGCTTGGCATCTCTCTGAAATTCCTCTCTGCTTTCAGCACAATTATTATTGTACGGTTAGTTTCAAATGTTTAGGAGCGTGATCCACTTGTACCCCAGGTAAAGGGCTCAGAGGTAAAAGAATCCAACAGAATTCCCAAGAGGCCTCTGTCTCTGTGCTTCAAAAGCTACATATTATTTGTCCCAAAGTAACTTTCTTGGATCAGGCAGATAGAGAGAGAGAGAGAGAGGTGGCTGGTCATTTCCCAGATGCCCTATAAAGTATGAAAGAGAAAGGTATCAAAGCCTTGTGTGCTGCATCCACAATTCAAATGGATGAAGGCCCCAAGACTTTTCCCATTGTGTACCTTTTTTTCTTGCATTTTCATGTATTCTTCTTAGTGAACCACAGATGATGCCTAGGGCAAATGCTGCAGAACTGGATTAGCATTTCAGTGGACTTGCTAGTGTTCCAAATTCTTTTTTAGATATAGAATATGGAAAGGTGCAGTCAAGCTAAACAGGGATGGGCATGCTGTGAACTTGTCTATGTTTTATGTTGTGTGGTTGATGGTGTTGGATGGAGAAGCTGCATAAATCTAAGCAAATTGTGAAACATAATTAGTGTGAAGTAGAATATAGAAACATTCATTCATTCATTCATTCA